TATATATATATATATATATATATATATATATATATATATATATATATGCAAACATCCATCCATCCATTATCTTTACCCGCTTATTCCATTTTGGGTCACGGGGGTCGCTGGTGCCCATGTCCAGCAATCACTGTGCGGGGGCGGGGTACACCCTGGACAGGTCACAAGTCCATCACAGGGCCACATAGAAACAAACGAGACAAACAACCATTCACTCTCTCACTCACACCTAGGGACAATTTAGAGTTACCAATTAGCCTAACATGCATGTTTTTGGTCTGTGGGAGGAAACCGGAGTACCCGGAGAAAACCCACGCATGCACGGAGAGAACATGCAAACTCCACCCAGAAAGGCCCCTGGACCGGGGTTTGAACCAGGGACCTGCTCGCTGAGAGGCAGCAGCTCTACCAGTTGCGCCACCGTGCTGCCGCAAACATAAATACAACTTCAAAATAAATTCTCACCCTGTACTCAAAACAGTTTCAGCGTCTCACCACCACCAGCCGGGAAAGGTGGTGACATCAATTTGAACCCCGCCCACTGGAACCAGTACTGAAAGTATAATGGAAACACAACGTGTACCGTACCGAGTAGAGTAGAGCTGTGCTGTACAGGTACTACAGGTACTAATGGAAAAGGGGCATTTGTGACCTCTGCTCCTTGTAGCCTCACTGTTCCACCGGCCTCCCTCTCATTCACACACATGGACTCTGTCTTACTACGGCTAACTTTCATTCCTCTTGTTTCAAGTGCATACCTCCACCTCTCCAAGTTCTCTTCCACCTGTTCCCTGTTCTCACCACAGATCACAATGTTATCTGCAAACATCATAGTCCACGGGGATTCCTGCCCATATGTTAGTCGGTCCATCACCAGAGCAAACAAGAAGGTGCTCAGAGCAGATCCTTGTTGCAATCCCACCTCCACATTAAAGCTATCTGTCACTCCTACAGCTCATCTCACTACTGTCCTGCTGTCCTCATACATGTCCTGTACCAGTCTAATATACCGTATTTTCCAGAGGACACATCACACCGCCCTATAAGTCGCATCATTTCATATTTGTCTTATAAAATGGAAAAATCCATAAATATGTCGCTTCGCCATATACGTCGCATCTATTATGCGTCACCTCTGACGTGTCGCGTTTGTTACGCGTCACCAACAACAACCCGGAAATGTGGGCCGAACCCGGAATTGTGGACCGGTGTTGTGCCAAAAAACGATGGGCTGCCAAATGGCAGCTGCGGGAACGTGCACGGGAGGACTTTAACAAGAATTTAACAAGATTAACACTTAAAAACAATTATTTGTTTGCTCGAAATTATAGTAAATGTGTGTCTCAGTCTAACATTTGCTTAATAAATGCACTTTAATGGTCAAATCAGCTGTATTTAAAAAATAGTTTTGCTGCCTTGGTGCTCCATGAACGCGCAGAGGACGAGAGAAAGGAAGGAGAAACAGCTCGTTTCACTGAAATTTAACAAGAAAAGCACCTAAACAATTATGTGTTTGCTCTAAATTTTAGCAAAGGTGTGTCTCAGTCTAACATTTGCTTAATAAAGGCACTTTAATGGTCAAATCAGCTGCATTTTGCCAGGGTGGTGCAGCTGTTTTGATGGTTCCAAGCAGAGAGCAGAATGAAGGTGGGGAGACTGTGGCAGGC